CTCCGGGGGTACAGGGATGCTCCGGGGATGTTCCCCGCCAGTTTGTAGCTCGTACCCGCGGATTGCAGCCGCCTGGAAGGTTCTCCACTACTTCTGGCTGAGAAGTTTGGCGTGCTTAAAGTCCCTCGTTGCTTCCGCTGGCGCAGGGGTGGGATGGGAACTGGTGTGATGTGTACGGAACTGACCTGAGTTGCAGCCGGGAAGAGCTGTGCTTTTTGTGCCTTTTCCCGTAGTGTTTTTGTACTGCAAGGAGTGATTTCCGTACCCCAAACTGATCAGGCTTTTCTTAGAAACTCTTGTGGTTGAGAGTATTCCCTTCAGCTGCTTTGCCAGCTGTTCCAGCACACCTGAACGGATGGTCCTGCTGTAAAGTGAAGCACTGAAGTTGTTCCTTCCCTCTGCTGCTGCACTGGAATGGGAATGGATGGGGGAAAGTAGGACAGAAACTTCCTTCTTTTGTTTCCTTATTTTTCTTTCAGTCAAGCTATTCAGTCAAGTATTACTAATCTCTAGCTGTAGTGTCAACTAGTTTGTGCAAGAACCCTATGAAAACTCACCAGCAATGAAACTTTTAAAACTTTTTAGTTTAAACTTTTAGTTTAGTTTAAACTAAAGCTAAAAGTTTTAGTAATACTCTTTGCCTTTTTTTGGTAGAGCTCTGTGCTGCTTGTTGCCTAGTTCTGCTCTTTCAGTGTATTGTATAAAATATAAACACACAGTATATTAACTGTCTATTAGCTATATATTAACTATATTAACCGAGTGTATTAACTGTATTCACTGTATATTGACTATAGAGTGAACTTCTTCTGGATATGATCATCCTCATCCTTTGTTTTAACTTCCCTTTTTTTTAAACTCAGTTTCATGGGTAGTTAGACTGTTGGGTTTTTTTATTAGGAACTTCCAGCTGTGTTAGAATCAGCCATACAGTAATTTTCTGAGCTTTAAAACTTTAGCATTTCAGGGTTCCATAATTATCATGTGAGGTGTATTTACTGCTTCCTAGAAGGAATTGAAGCTGTGGTGTTGCCTTAAAGTTATGGACAAATGGGAGCCTGTAATTAATGATGTATTTTCCTAGCATAGCTACTTTAGTCATCAAACAAAGTAGCTGAAAGTAGCTCACCCATGCCTTGTAGTGCATCCCTGCCTCCTATTTTAGCCTAGTGCTAGTCTAACCTTGTGACTAGTTAATTTAGAGAGCTAAACCAGAGGAAAATGAACCTATTTGGTTTTGTTTTTTTAGTCACTGATGTGACTTCTTGCACAGTTGTGATGGAGGAAGATAAAGTTGCACAAAGCAGCAGAATTGTGTGGCAGGGCATGAGACCGTGTTTGCCTTTCTTGGTGTATATCTCTGCTTTTAGTTTGATGTTACAGTAAGTCAGATATGTGTCCTCACTTAATGCAGAGTTGTAACAATGAGAAATTTACTTGAAGAAACACTATAATGCAGAGTTGTAACAATGAGAAATTTGCTTGAGGAAACACTGCGAGTATTTTTATGTTTGTCTATTTATTTTCTAGGTCAGATAGAGTATTTTTATGTTTGTCTATTTATTTCCTAGGTCAGGTGGAAACCATGGAGGAGGACTCTGTGGTTTCCTCCACACCCCCATTTTTCACTGACAGCTTGGAGATGGCAATGGATGTGGAGTATGAGACCTCAAAGCCACCTTGTTTTTCTTGTGCTTTTGACAGCCAAAATGGAGGGAGAAACTTCTCCACAGAATCTTATTTAGCAAGTGGGTCTTTTAAGAGGTATGGGATTCTTTTTTTTGACTTACAAATATATTAATTTTCTAAGATGCTTTTTCCACTTGTGTCTGGTGCCTCTGAATGCTGACAGTTTTCCAGATCAGTTTGTTCTTCAACTCTTATGATCCTGAGGTCAACTCTGTGATATGCCAAAGTGGAAAGGGCAATTGTGTTGATAAACAGCTTTGAACAGGTCTAGTTCCTATCTTTGTGAACTTACTTTTAAGGTATTGTAAAGACATGTTTACAAGCCTGTTAGGACACTTCCAAACTGGCCTGTTGGGCAGCAGCATCTGAGATCACTTAAATTTCTGCAGAGGCTTCAACTCTGGCCCTTTCTTTTCCATACTATAGAAACAAATCTGCTCTGCCCAACTTCCTTAGTTTGCTGGGACTGTCCTTTATAGCTTTAAGACCATCTTTCCCAAAGCTTTACCTTTGGTATTCCAAAACTTCCATTTAGTTATTATCTTGTTTGCTGTGTCTATGATTCAGCTTAGTTTTCTGTGCCATTTGCTCATCCTACAGGGGTTTGTCTTGTTTTTCCATAAAAAGTCTAATCTTTGTCTGTCCTCCTGCCAAGCCTCATCTTTTATGTTGTTACTTTGTTGGCTTTTAACTTTCACTTCCACAGCCTTTCTTGTGAAGCCTTAAAGTGGGTTCCACAGCACCTCCCCCATTCCCTGTCTCACTATATATTTTAGTTGCACTCTTGTGAAGCCTTAAAGTGGGTTCCACTGCACCTCCCCCATTCCTTGTCTCACTTACCATATATTTTAGTTGCATCAGAGCATATTCATTCAAATTGATGTCAACGTATCAGTAGTGGATTCCACAGTGACAAAGAAACATTTTACCTGAAATTGTTTCTGTCATTACACAGGATCAGTTAGGATGGAAGGGACCACAATGGGTCATCTGGTCCAACCTACCTACTCAGCAGAGCCACCCTAGAGTGGCTCAGGATTGTGTCCAGATGGTTCTTGAATACCTCCAGTGAGGGAGAATCCACGACCTCTCTGGGTAATTTGTTCAGTGCTCAGTGACTGCACAGGAAAGAAAAGAATCTCACTCAGGAGCTTGCATGTAGACAGGTCATGACACTACTGCTCTTTTGTTGTGTATTTACCTGGATTGTAAAGTCTTGGAAAAGCCTGCATGTGAGGGACTCTTGTGTCTTCATTATTTAGAGAAGGACTAGCTGGGTTTGGATGCTAAAGGCTTCAAAACAGTCCAGTGTAAAAGAAGTTACCAAGTGAACTAAGGTGTTAGGAGAAATAATGCCAATTATTCAGCAGATGCACTTTTTGCCACTGAGAACTAAATTGGTGACCTATGACTACATCCTGGTTTTATGCTTTTGAAGCTAGGACTTGTTGTATTGCTATATATCATATTGCTATAGAAGGTATAACTGTCTTTTGAGACACCTGTAGTGTACCTGTTGCTGATCTGTTCAGGAAGTACCAGTGGTACATAAACCAGCTGTAGATACTGGTTCCATAGTTTTATTACTGGGGAATGTATGAATATTGTTGCCTTTATTTTGCAGGGTCTTGCTGAGCCTGGATCCTTCTCCAAATGACTACGAAGAAGCTGTAGTGGAAATGTTTGGCTTTCAGTGGGTTACTGAAATGGCATTAGTTGAATCCTGTGAATTTCTCTTTGGATTACTTAGGTATGATAACCTTAGTGTATTTGATAATTAATCCACATCTGTAATTATATCCACCTTGAGGATGTAACCCAACTTCTCAGGTTTTTTTGAAAGCAACATCATAAAAGACTGTGGGCTATGCAATGCAGCTGAAAAAGATTATACTGTCTGTTTAATGCTCCAGTAAGTGATGGGTAAGACACAGATGGAATTGTAGAAAGAAGTACATTGTGTCACAGATTTTTAATATTACGTGACTTAATAATAAGTTTCTAAGTAGTGTGAGGCATATCTCAGCCATCACCAGATAAAAAATTGGTAAGTATAGTTATTACAACAGAGTGTTGAGGTTAATTTAAAAGGCTCTAGCTTCAGAATATATGAATAAACTGTACAAGATTTCCTTGAATGAGATTGTGCTTCTCATATAATTGAAGTTGTCTTTTGTAGATTTTTTTTTTTTTTTTTAGTCCTTTTCTCGAGCATAAAGAAAATTGGAGGTTAAAAATCAAATGCTATAAATGGTGGATGCAGCACTTCCCTCCATTGTTTGGATTAGGATAGCTTCAGCAATCTCTTCAGATACAGTTACTCAGTGTTTGACTAATTCAATGTAGATGCTTAATCTGGTCAATGCAAATACACAGATCACCAATAATCCTCTTTGCTACTGATAATCCTCAGTATGTACAGCACATACAGAGAGTGGATGGGAGAGGACATTTGATTCCACAAATATATGTGATGTATTCCATCATTCCTTTCATTGTAGTGAATTCTTCCATCCCTTTAGGGTGTGACCAAGGGCATGATGTGTAACATGATTAATAAGGTCTGGCGTATTCAAGCACGATGGCATAGATGGCAGGAAGTATATTAAAGCCAGTATTATATAGCTTTGCTTGTTTGCTGCAAGCTTTGACTTCAATGTGTTTAAAAGAAACCTCAAACAAACTGTTAATGAAGGAGATAGGAGGATAACTTAGTCTGAAGTTTCAGCATTGAGTCTGGTTTATGAACTGTTCTTTAATATAAAATAACTGAGCAGGGACACAGCAATGTATTTGACCTGTTGAATTCAATTGATTTTTCTTTACTTTAAACTGCTCTAATTAGGATAGAGATGAACATAAGACACAATATCTTTTACTGTAGTTTTTAAGTTATTCAAGCTGTACATGTTTTAAAACCTCCTGAACTGGTAGGAATAATGGATTTCAGCTAACTCTTGGCTCTGAGAGTTTGGTTGCTAAGCTGTCTTTTGCTGTGACAAGTCCCTCTGCAAAGATATTCTCTCTTTCAGTTCATTTGTTCAGTCATAAAATGGAACACTTTCCTTTATAGACCAGTTGACAACTAAAAGTAGGAAAATTCCTTTTCCCATTGTAGAAATTGTATGTGCTAAGCTCAAATTACAATAATTCTTGAGGATGAGGTGGCTGTAAATAGTTCAATTTATGAAGTGCAGATAATATCTGTGTTCAAATACATGCTTACAGAAACCTAATCTTTTTTAATGTGCGAGTATAATATTAAAGATTGTTACTTAATATTTTTAAATATTGTAATAAATAATAGTGTACAGCAGAACTGCAAGCTAAAGCAGTAATTGCATAATAAAAATTTTTACTTGTGGGTTTTTATGTGATAGAAGTGTGAGTCAAAGTGAATGAGAGCTCTGTAATCATTTAAGTGGGTATATTGATACAATATATCTTTGATTAATGAACAGAAATACCAGTTTAACTGTCAGGATGTTTATTTGCAAATCAAAGAGTTTAATGATTAACAACCATGAGGATCAATCGTTGAGGGGCAAATGCTAATTGAAATTAGAACGATTTATTTAAATGATGGTATTTTTGTTATGCCCAGTTTGTGCTTTTATCAGCCCACTGTGTTCTGTCTTCTGTAACTTCACTGGAGAGAATCTTTATTTTTTTTTTGTGTGGCTCCTTTCTGACTCTTTGCCTCTCTAACCTTCAGTCTCAACAGCCTTCTTTCATACAGTTCTCCTGCTTCAGACTTCTTTCCTTTTCACATGGTTGAAATACTTGAAAAATCTAGGCAGAAATTCAGCTTGGATTTCAAAGCAAGCAAAAAAACCCTAAAACCCACCTAAATGACTGAAAGGAATCTTGGGTTGCTGACATGACTTTATCCACGGAAGGAAGGAAGAGCTAAGGGAGAGAATTGTAGTGTGTGCTTGCCCTTTAATATGCAAGTTCCAACATGGGTTTTTGGGTCTTTTAGACACTTTCTAGTTTTCAGGGTTTTTTTTCTGTAAGAACATTTGATCTGGGTTGGATCCAAGAATCCTGTTTTAGAATCCTTCAGTAGTTGTTGCTTTGACTGTATAAGAAATGAGGCAGAGATCTCCCTCCTCAATTTATGCAGCATTTTATTTCAAAAGTCTGTCTGACACAGTTGTGGTTTTTCATATATTCAGTTTAGTACCACGTTTTCTCTGTGGAGACTGTACTTGAAGACCACTTGAAAATAACAGTTGTTGCAGAATATGGCTGAATATTTACCTATGTTACAGCTCTTTTAACATTTTTGATTTGCAATGGCAGTTAGCTTGTCGTAGAACCATCAGAGTTGGGGGGCACCTTGAAGAAGTGTGGGCAGCAGGTCATAGGAGGTGATTTTCCCACCTCTATTCTGCTCTGGTGAGACCCACCTGGAACACTGCACACAGTTCTGGTGTCCTCAAGATAAGAAGGACATGGAACTGTTGGAGCAAGTCCAGAGGAGGCCACAAAGTTGCTAAGAAGACTGGAGCATCTCCCCTATGAAAACAGGCTGAGGGAGTTGGGGCTGCTCAGCCTGGAGAAGAGAAGGTTGTGTGGAGACCTCAGAGCAACTTTTCAATATCTGAAGGGCCTACAAGGAGCCAGAGAGGGACTCTGTGTTAGGAACGAGCAACTTTTCAATATCTGAAGGGCCTACAAGGAGCCAGAGAGGGACTCTGTGTTAGGAACTGCAGTGATAGGACAAGGGGTAATGGGTTCAAATTGAAGGAGGGAAAGCTGGGGTTAGATATTAGAAAAAAGTTTTTTCCTGTGAGGGTGGTGAGACACTGCCAAGTCCCTTTCTGACTGACACGTCTTTCCCCACTCCTCCCCCAGCCTGGAGCTGCAGGAGGTCTTTGTGTCCCAAGTGCAGAATCAGCACTGAGCCTTACTGACCCTCATGCAGTTGTCCTCAGCCCATGGATCAGGTCAGTCCAGGTCTCTCTAGAGCTTTCCTACCCTCAGGCAGATCCACACTCACACCCAACTTAGTGTCATCTGCAAATTCACTGAGGCTTCACTCAATCCCCATGTCCAGATCATCAATAATCCAGATCATCAATAAAGATGTTAGACAGGACTGGCCCCAACACTAAGCCCTAGGGAATACCACTAGTGACAGCCCCAGTTGGATTTAGCTCCATATAGTGACTTTAGGAATGTTCTCTTTCCCATCCAAAACTGGACTGAGCTTTAACTTTTCAAGAGACACTTCTTACTCTAGTACATTTGTTATTGTTTATCTGTTGTGCTTGAATTATGACCATCCTGGGCAGGAAGTGGGAAAAGGTGCTGACAGAACATACCAGTGAATTAATTTTGTGTATACTTGAGGGTATGCCAGGAGGGCTAATTTTCAGATTCCTTCTGTGCTCAAATAGGAAGTTGACTTATGCTTGTGGAAAGATCAATTGCAGGGAATAGCATTTGGGGTTGCTTGTTTGTCCTCCTCCAGTATTTGGCCAATCGTTGTAGTATTTGTTGCTACTGTGTTTAATGTTTTAAAAATAAGCAACACTTCCAGTCAATGTCATCC